CGCGGTATACTGAGACGCCGCAGCTGAAGCGGATCCCGACAATTATGTCTGGATCCGCCCAGCTGCGTGAGTGACAGCTGGCTCTGCCTATCTAGAGACAGAGCCAGCTGTACCTACCCCCTCCCCTGTCCATTCCGCCAGTCAGCGCTGGCGGATCGGAGCGGGGAGGGGGGAATACAGTCCCTCCCCTGTCACGGCTCTGTGCCGTGACAGGATCGAGAAGTGAGCGAACACCATTATGTGTTTGCTCACTTTGCGATCTACTGAGCCGACCTGTGACAGTCTCATTGTCACAGGTCGGCTAGAACTATGAGGCGAGTGAAAAGCACTCATAGTTCTCCTTTAGGCTGGGTTCCCACCTAGGCGTTCGAAATATGCGTGTATGACGTGCATTTTGCGGTGCATGTTTTAACCGTGATTTGCAGCCCACAAAACACGCGTCGAACGCGCATTTACGAGGGCAATCCGGCTGTATCCTAATAGATACGCGCGGAAATACGCCCCAAAGAAGCTCCTGTACTTCTTTGGGCATAGGGCGTTTTTCAGCACGTTCCGACACGCTGAAATACACCCAAGTGAGAACCATGCCCATAGGAAACAATGGGATTTCACTTGCAGGGCGTTTTACAGCGTGTCGATCAGCGATGTAAAACGTCCAGGTGTGAACCCGGAAGTTCTGCTATATAGTGCATTACTTCACTTCCAACTGTGTCAGCTTACCCCATATTGACATTATGTCTCCATCGAAGTAGAATATGGACCTGATTTACTAAAGGATATGACTGTATAGGACATAGGACGTAATAGTATACTCCAGATGTTAAGAGGCATACACTCTGGGGAAAACGTTTATTAATACTTGTGTTTTGTGCATAGACAACTGTGTGCCGAGTTGAGAAACAGCCTGACTTTCCTGTAACTGGTCAGTGGAATGTTACTACAGAAAGTGATGGTGAAAAAAAGACTGCTATCTTTGACGCAGTTTTCATCTGTGTGGGTCAACATGTGGATGCTGAGATACCAGTAGACAGTCTTCCAGGTAAAAATGACCTACAACACACATCTTTACACGTGAATATAATAAGCTTAATGTACATATCCTGATCAACATTTAATTATGGATGTGATTCAAGTTTGCTGCTGTAATGGGTTGTTGGTGAATCTTATGAATTTAAGATTTGCATACCTAGCAAATTTATGTACAGATTTGCCAAGGAGAATTTTTTAAAACCATAATTAACTGCATGTAATTGAATGTAAGACAGCTGGATTAGAAGAGCCAATAATGCTTTTTTTTAAAGGCCCCCTCTTTATAAAAGGGGGTCACAAGGCAGCCTTACTCTACCCCTACATACTGAAAGATTTTTGTAAAAACTTTATTATGAAAGTCTTGTCAGAACAAAATGCTATCACGGAATGTCATTCAATTAACATTTGACTTTGGAATGAATGGAGTTTGCTGAACAAAAACCACATTCACTGTTAGAATTTTGTTACTTCAAGAAAAATGTTCCATCCTTTGATTTTTTTCATCCCTGTGATTGAAAATGATCATTGATTTGACCCCATTCACTATTAGAAAATCGATCGACTGGTCAAAAATAATTTTTTATGAGCAAAATTCTAACAATGTATATCCGGCTTTAGTGTCAGTATATTGGAAGCTGCTGGAGGGGGAAGGATGAGGGAAGCTGACAAACTGCATAGGGAGAGATTAGGGTCAGTAAGGAAAGTGAAGTTTAATTTTGATTGTTAGCTCTTTGGACAATCATCCCATTTCTTAATTTTGTGGTTGATTTGAGGTCATCGGTTACTTTAAAATTGGTTACATTCAAAATAATTTTTGGTTGCTAGGCTTTACAAAATGTGCTTTTGTTTCAAGGGGTGGTATTATTTTTTTTTTACAATTATTTAGGGGTATATCGTTGTTTATTTTATTTTTGCAGTGGCCTTTATTGCAGGTTAAACTGCTTTAATTTGCAGCAAGTATCATTTGAGCTTTTAATTTATTTTGGTGGCATATAATGCTAAACTTTCAGTGCATCACTAAGCACTCATTTACACAGCCATTCCTGGCAATACACCACCCTAAACAACATTTCTCGGGTAGGTATGGTGCAGTGTTCAGCTGTGGTCAGGAAGCCTGTAAAAATCAATAACAGGCTGAAACTGTCTGCATCTATTCACATGTAATAGAGCTATTTGATTTTGTCATTGATTAGTACTAAGCAGCCATAGCAGCAAGGAAACACTTACCTGACCCAGAAATAGGCTGTTCTGGGCCATGTATGGCCATGAATGGACATATAAATGAGTCCTAATGCACACTGAGCTTTCGCTGTCAAATGGAACAGATGCAGTATATAAAGCTTAAATCCTCAATATATACAAGGATCTCAGTCAGGGTAATATGTTGTAATGTCATAACTAATGTGGTGTCAGTTTCATGATAACTCCATACTTGCAAAAAGACAGCAGAAAACTTTTTAAGGACTAGAAAAGCATGGTTGCCAACCTAATGCTGCTGGCCTTTGGCTTATGCTTGTACTGTAGACATGGTGGCTGAAAGGGGTAACAAAGTAAAAGCAGTTGCATGCAGTTTTTCTGCAGTGAATGCAAGTGTGTTGCAATTGCTGAACTTAGAAAAAAGAAGCTGGTTTGAAGTCTATCACTAAGGCCATGGTTGGTGGCATTGACCTGGTACAGAGTGTTTGCAGCAAGAGTGTAACTAAGTGAACAGGTGGTGATCTTAGGGCATCAAGTACTGTATCCAATTTTGGGCACAGAGCTGAAGATGCTGCATCCACTGGTAGTGAACACAGAGCAGAAGGTGCGTGCCTATGAAGGAGGTAACGCAGATGGACAGCTAACAAGCTTTTCTCAGCAAACCCACCATGGTATTTTTTTCTGGATTTAGCAGGTTGTCACAAGGTCCTATGCTGGATTTCTGTGCACATTTAGTGTTACCAGAACTGTGAACACACCAGGGAATAAGGACAAATAAAAAAAGCAATGGTGAACACAGCAAAGAACAGTCAAGCTATACATTACTATACAAAAACCAACAATAGTGCAGGCAAAAGCAAAAATGTTTATCTTTAGTGGCTACAAATATATATGAAGCAATATCATGAAAAGTATCAGTATACGAACAGACCGCACTATCCAGATAATTCTATGGATAAGCCTGCGGGGAATCATGTGAGAGGTTGTAGTTGGTTGGGGGTGTGCAGTGCTGGCATTTGTTGCTTTATACACTTTTATTCACTGATATACTGGATTTGCTGTGATTTTCAATAAAGTCTGCAGTATTGGAATTCTCTGGATAGTGCGGTCTGTTCGTATACTGCTGCATTCCAAGGTGGAGATGCACCTATTAGACCAGCACCTCGGGGAGTCCTGATGGTGGCTAAGGAATTGGAGTGGTGAGATTACCTTTGGCTCTACATCATGAGAAGTATGCCACAAAAAGAACATTTCTTTGCATGTCATTTGTGTTTGAATCTAAAGCTGATTGAATGGATAATTGAACAGAAATATCATCAACTTTTTATTTCCCCCCAAAAAAGTGTTATCAATGTTAAATGATTGAACTGAGCCAAAAGTTTAGGCTTATGTGTCATAAGGGGAAACAAGGAGAAAAAAAGTACAGCTTGTGATAAAGAAAGTTATATTTGTAACCTCAGCTTACTCTGTTGTGAAATTCTTTGCTTTGTTTCCATAAAGGTATTAAACATTTCAAGAGAAAGGTTTTACATTCCCGAGATTACAAAAGACCAGTTGGTTATGATGGTAAAAGAGTGTTAATTGTTGGAATGGGTAACACTGGAGTTGACATCTCAACAGAACTCAGTACAATTGCCTCACAGGTATAGAGCAATTCATTTTTTTTGTTTTAAGATGTGTTAACAGTGTATTCTAAGTACCACTTCATAACAATACTAAATTCGTAATAAATCATGTGTACTTTTAAATGAAGAAATTTGCCTGTCAAGGAAGTTTATTGTTACAGTAGATGGCTATACAAAGCGAGCTAGAGTATTTCAGTTAATAATGTTTAATTTGGCAGACAGGAAAGCTATAAATTGTAGAAAGAAGTCATGATGAAACTTCATTGTAAATAACAGGTAGTATTTTTTAAGAAAGTATTACCCCTAACAAATAGTTTGATAATAAATATGAAAAAAGGCTTTAGTCTAAAAGAGGTACATCTAAATTTAGCATTTGTGGGTCGTAAACCTGGATTTCTTGCATTCATTTTATCTTCTCTGGATGCCTACTATTCTTTAGAGCTATACTAATTTTCTTAATATGAAGAAGAAAAATTTCTAAATAGTTTATGAAAGTTGGATTGAAGACAATGAACCACACTAATACTTTTTGCATATAAAATAAGTTTCAGGTTTCCTTTCATTCCTTCCATACAGAGCATGGGTTTTCTTGCCAGTCTCTCCATTTAAGAAAATAACTAACTCATTTCCATAACAGCTGTTATGAGCATGGTCAAAGTATATCTAAAGCCAAAACTTTAAAAAAAAAAATTTGAATAGAGTATAGAATGGTTAAAACCCATCAGTTTTCTTTTTTATCTGTTTCTCGTTGAGGGGTGTTTACTTTTTGTCCTGTAGACACAATAGAAGGTAAGAGGTGATTACTACAATGTGAAGGAAATTCCATCTTATTCATTTGTCACTTGAGCAAGTGTCCTCACTGGAACATTTTCCCTATATTCCTGTTCTGAAGGCAACTCAAAATTGTGGGTTTTAACTCATGTTTAGCCCTGGTGACAGTGGTCACCAGAACAAACAGAAAAAAAAGAATCTCCCTATTGGGGACAGCAATACAAATCTGAGTTTTTTTTTTAAAGTTGGCCATACACTGGTAAACCTTTGTTTGAGCATTCATGCAACAAATCTGGTCAGAACATTTGATAATTCCATCAGAGACTTGTATAATGTCATTCAAAATCTCATTTTATTTTAACACTCAGGTTTTTTTTACAAAGGGCTGCTCTATGGGCTATTCAATATAGCCCGTACAGCTCATGAAGGCACCCGAGCTGCTCAGTCGATCCGAAGATATATATGCTTCGGCTCAACTGAGCTGAAGTGACAGCCGAAGCAGGGCGAACGGCCGGCTGAAGGCAAATGACAGCTGGGCGGAGCCAGTTGTAATAACAGGATGCGGAACTGTCATTAAACAATGACAACTGTCACGGCCGTCTCCGCCCAGTTGTTATTCATTGGCTGGGACCTGCTAGAAGACTCTAGCAGGTGCCGGCTAATAGGAAACAGTTGGGTGGAGCTAGCTGTCACTGCTAGCTCTGCCCAATTGTTTTTTTTTATTTTTAATTTTTTTTAATTTTTTTTTGCTTTTCAAAAAAAGCTTTATTTATTTTTTAACTTTTCAATTTATTTACATTGCAAAACTATTTTTTCAACCTTTTTTCCCCACTATTAGCTATTCTGCTCGGCACCGCTCGGCGGCATTCGACTATTCACTCACTGCCGTTCGGCCCCTATGTGAATGTTGGATGTTGGATCGGCTGAGTCGAATTTCTCGAACGAAAACCACGTTCACTGTTAGAATTTTAGTTATTCGAGAAAAATTTTCCAACCATTTTGTCACTATGGTTGAAATTGAGCCTTGATTTGACCCCATTAACTATTACAAAATTCAATGAATGTTGCAAAAACAATTTTTTTTTAACAAAGCTCTGCTTGTGTATGGAACCACTCTTTCCAATAAAAAACGGCATTTGTACCCCTTAATGCTTTGTATCATCCGACTCCTAAAGTAAAAGGTGCCTATGCTTAACCATGGTTTCCTTGTAGGATACATTTTATTTCCAAGTTACACCCTTCTGTATTATTCATGGAAAACACCTGGAATTGTAAGCAAGTGGAGTGAAAATACTGAATTAAGTCATAGCTGCAGGCTGTAAAACCTACGGGTGGCAACTGAGCAGCTGTGGAACAGACAAAGGTCATAGCTGGGTACAAATAAGCAGACACATGCAAAAGGGTAAAGATGGTGCAGGTTACAGCCAGACAAATTCCAAGTGAAGACAAACATGAATAATAACAAAAATATTACTCAGTCAGAGAAAAAGCAAACATTTTAGAAATATCAGAACAGATGTTCACATTTTGTCCCCTGTGACCACAGATGCATGATTGCATTAAGCTCTGCTATTGTCTATGTAAAAGATAATATGGGGATATGGACACACACCCAAAGAACATATGCCAAACAACAAAAATGCAGTCTGAAAAGCACCAGTTCACTGATATTTCTTATTTTTACTATCTATAAATCTATAAACCAAGCTAGTAAATCTATTATTCTTCTAAGAACTTTTCTTTAATTTTAATGGGCAATGCCACCACTTTATTACCTGTATTCATATTTGAAAAAAATAGGATAATACATGCAGTATTTAGCCTATTGCAGATCAGATCTTTTTAATTTTACCTGACTATATACCCTTGTTGTTCAAATAACCTATTTATCAAGTTCTTTAGGTATACCTCACAACTAGAGATGGAGTATGGGTATTACCTCGTCTTGGGAAAGATGGCTATCCTTATGATTTGTTTTTTCTACGCCGTATAAACAATTGGATAGAAAACATAGTACCACCATCAGTGTCCAGATGGATGTTGAAACGTAGCTTGAACAATCGATTCAACCATGAACTGTACAATATACAACCTGAGGGGTAATGTATCTTACACTTTTATATAATCTTAATGATAATAATGATGTTATTTTACATTGTTGATGTTGAGAGAAAACCAGTAATTTCAGAAAATCACTCAAACCAGTAATATATGATAAGTCACACTGCCACATCATGGTTCCTTTCTAAAAGGTGATCTACTCTAGTTTAGGTGTATGTTTAAAAATTATCTAATTTACTTTTTTGACTGAAAAAGCTCCACATGTCAATTTTTGACCCAGTATGAAATTAATTGATAACTTTTTATCCAGTGCCTGTCTGTGACAATTCTCTGCTTTTTAACACTAAACCAGAAATATCAATGAAAAAAACACTTTTCTGACTTCTGCTCTTGATGATGTTCTGCAGTTGTACTGCCATCCCATGTGGGATATTTTCCTCTATATGCAGGCACTTAGACTACATAATCATATAAACCCCAGTGCCTGTGCTATAATCTTTATGACTATAACAATTTGTTAAAATGTCAATGGGAGAAAACGCGAAGGTTGGCCATTTACCACATGAATTTAATCTGAAAAAAAAAATCTGTTTTTGGAACGTTCGTACAATTTTCTAATTTTTAGTGCAGTCATATTGAAGATTGATTTCAACTATACTGACAAAAAAAATCATAGAAGCAGGATGGAAGTTTTCTCTTCAATGAATGAAATTCTAACAGTGAACGTGCTTTCTTGTCATGGAATGAAACTCCAATCATTCCAAAATTGACTGGTAAAATCACTGAGATTTTAAACAAGTCTCTAATGGCATTATCGAATGTTCTGACAACATTTTTCATATAAAAGATTGTTTGAAAGTTTCCCAGTGTATGGACAGCTTAAGGGTTGGATTCCTCTTGACCTCAGTAGACCAATAACATAATTTTTCTAGATCGTACCTCCTAATCCTAGGCACATGATTGGAGCCTAATTATAACTTTTTTAAAGATACAATTTGTTAAAAAATTATCCCATTGCTGTAGAATATTATGACATATCAGGAATTTATATGTGTAAAATTAATGATAATTGTAATTCTAGTAGGGGCTTTTCTTGTCTGATTTTCCAAATACAAATTGAGTTCCATAAAACTGAGAATCGAAGCAGATTCTTTCCTTTGTTAAATAGTTGATGAAAGTGAATGATGTGACTCATTGATAGAAATGAATAGACTTGCTAAAAATTGCTCTGACTATGTTATCGAAATCGTTTTATATATTTATTTATAGAACTAAATGGAAGGAGCCCTTGGTAAATGATGAAATTGCAAGTCGTGTTCTGTCAGGCTCAATTGTCATCAAGCCAGGAGTGATAAAATTTACTGAAACAGATGCCCATTTTTCAGATGGTACTATAGTGCGTGATCTTGATGTTGTTATCCTGTGCACTGGATTTGGCTACAGTTTCCCTTTTTTGGATGAAACATTATTTAAGAGAGATGAGAATGCAGGAAATTTATATAAAAAGATAATTCCTGTAAATGTCGAAAAGCCCACAATTGCATTCATTGCATTTCTCCTTCCGGTTGGACCAACCATGGTAGTTGCGGAGCTTCAGTGCAGATGGGCCACCAGAGTATTTAAAGGTAAGCTCCACCAAATCACATGTCTAAGTTAAAAACCATGTGTCATATCCATAGGCATACTCAGCCTATTGCATTAGGGTGTGCAGACAAAAGTACAAACACATACGCGTATATATATATA